TGCAGGTAATATTTTTGCTGCAATTTTCCAAATAAGCTAATTACAGCTTTCGTTGTTTTTCTGTGTGAAACCACATACTCAGCTCGTCATAAATTGGTTTGATTGCAGCTAATTCATCATCTGGAATTGGTTTATAATCATGCTTGAATGTCTTCAAAGCTTTTTCAGCAGAAGCACGTTGACATGGACAATAAGATTCAGAACTGAAGATACCTTTTATGATGCGATTGCTCATTGTCAAATTTTTTTCATTGAATACTCTATAACTTCGGGAATATTGCTTGGATCTACTTGATATTTTGTCATAATATTCTTAAAGACATTTACTTTCGAATAGAATAATAAAAAAAATTTCGATTTTTAACCCCTCAAGACACTGTCGTTCGGCGGCTCTGAGCTGTACACAACATATATGGAGACTATAGTTTTCTTTTGACTACAGCCTCGCGCAGACCACGTTCATTCGCACATCATCGCTCAATACTTGAACAATAAAAAGAGGTTTTTTTATACAACTTTTTCCTCTATAATTGAAGTTTTTTTATTTCTCAAATTGATCCTGCCTAAATCAATATTTCTGAGACTTCAGAACACTTCTGCAGTTCTCGACCCGACATTAGTTTTTTTGGTTATTATTATTAGAATCTAGTTTTAGCAGAACAAGGTATGAGTAGATAAATCGGTACTTTGATTGTACACAATATGATCATGAACGAAATTGACATGGTTTCGTTAAGGCTTATAATGTTTATATAGTGAAATTAGTTTGAATGATAACTGTCCCGATGAAAACCAGTCATAATACCGAAAGATAAGTTTTACTCATTCAGTTTCCGTGGCACTTAATAGAAGAATCCATTGTTTAATTAGTTCGTCATAATGGATAAAAGTGAGAAGAAATCCGAAGAAGTTAACCCGAAAAATAATTCCAGTGAACACGACATTGTTGTGTCAAACGACAAAAAATACGTTTGCGATATTTGTCAGAAGTCATTTACATTGGAATCAAGCATGATAACACACCGAGACACGATTCACATTGATCAGATATATTACAAATGCGACAAGTGCGAAAAAAAATTCGAGTTCCGAAGTCATTTGAGTCGGCACCAAATATCAGTTCACAAAGGCCGCCAAGATTTTGCATGTGACAAGTGCGAGAAGAAATTTGTGAAAAAATCAAGTTTGATTATGCATCGAAAAATGGTACACGAAGATCGAAAAGAATTCATATGCAACAAGTGCGAAAGAAAATTTGAAAATAAATCAACTTTACAAAAGCATAAGAAAATATTCCACGAAGTCTTTAAGAATTACTTATGTGAAATGTGCGCGAAAAGGTTCGATAATAAGCAGAGTTTGCTTTTGCACATAAAGACAGTCCACGACGCAAAGATTCGCAAAGATTACGTATGTGATAAGCGTGAGAATAAATTTACACAAAAAAGGCTATTACACCTAAAGAAAGTCCATGATGGTCGCAAAGATTTCGCATGCGACAAATGCGAGAAAAAATATGGACTTGAGCATCATTTACAAACGCACCAAATGACAGTCCATGAAGGTCGGAAAGATTATCCGTGCGACGAATGTGAAAGGAAATTCGGAGAAAAATCTACATTGACTAAACACCAAAAGATAGTCCATGATGGTCGCAAAGATTTCGCATGCGACAAATGTGAGAAAAAATTTGGACATAAGCATCATTTACTAACGCACCAAATGACAGTCCACGAAGGTCGGAAAGATTATCCGTGCGACAAATGTGAAAGGAAATTCGGAGAAAAATCTACATTGACTAAACACCAAAAGATAGTCCATGATGGTCGCAAAGATTTTCAATGCGACAATTGTGAGAAGAAATTTGGACGAAAATGGATTATGATTCAGCACCAAAAGACAATACACAAAGGATGCAAAGATTATGCATGCGACAAATGTAAGAAGAAATTTGGATTTAAATCAGGTTTGTTGAAGCATCAAAGGTTAGTCCACGAAGGTCGAAAAGATTATGCATGTGATAAGTGCGAGAAGAAATTTGGGTTTCAAAGCAATTTGATAAAACACCAAAAGACAATCCATGAGGGTCGGAAAGATTACTCGTGCGACAAATGTGAAAAGAAATTCGGAGAAAAGTCTAAATTGACTCAACACCAAAAAATAGTTCATGATGGTCAGAAAAATTTTGCATGCGACAGATGCGAAAAGAAATTTGGACAAAAACCTCATTTGTTAAGCCATCAAAAGATAGTACATGAAGGTCGGAAAGATTATGAATGCAACAAATGCGAGAAGAAATTTGGATGTAAATCAGATTTGCTCAAGCACCAAAAAACAATGCACGAAGGTCGCAAAGATTATGGATGTGATAAGTGCGAGAAAAAATTTGGATGGAAATCAAATTTATTAAATCATCGAAGGATAGTACATGAAGGTCATTAAGATTATCAATGCAACGTTTGTGAGAAGAAATTTGTGAATAAATATAATATGACTCAACACCAAAAGACAGTACACGAAGGTCGAAAAAATTACGGATGCGACAAATGCGAAAAGAAATTCGGATATAAAAACGATTTGTTGAAGCACCAAAGAATAGTCCATGAAGGTAGTAAAGATTTCCAATGTGACAATTGTGAGAAAAAATTTGGAGTAAAGTGGATTTTGATTCAGCATCATAAGACTGTACACAAAGGATTCAAAGATTATGCATGCGACAAATGCGAGAAGAAATTTGTGATTAAAAGCAATTTTATAAAACACCAAAAAACAGTCCACGAAGGTCGCAAAGATTTCGCATGTGACAAATGCGAAAACATTTTTTGCTCTAAATCAGATTGGTCGAAGCACCAACGAGTAGTCAACGAAGGTCGCAAAGATAACGCATGCAACGAATGCAAAAAGAAATCATAATTAACAATTGTAAATATTTATCGATATATACTAATAAATGTTTTTCAAAAATTGTAATAAAAATTGACGAAATGATTATTTGACATGAAATATAATTGGTTCACTATCGTTATGGTGTTTTATTTTTTAACCAGATTTTGCGAACTACTAATTACTTATACTCTCTGTTCATTATTTGGCTACTTAGTTGTTAGCTCTTCATTCAAGTACATCAGCCTAGATTTTTGTCACGTATTGTTTGGAGATATGAGGGCGAGTGTTTATGAGGGTGTTTATGTATTTAGATTTTCATGAATGATGATTTTTATAAGTGATCGATAATAACAATAAGTTTTCATAAAAAAATTAAGTGGAAACCAGTTAATTTAATTTATCAAAAAGTATTTTCTACATTTCTTCAAAATTGGTAAAAGCCCTCCATAATCGTTTTCTCCCTTTCTTAGTAATTTTATTAGTAATTAAATGAGCAATTATTGAGATTCTTAATTTTCCAGAAATTTACAATTTTTCGCATCATTGAAGTGGTTTTTGAAAAATTTGCGTAGAGATTATGAAAGTAGAGCAGTTAGGTTTTAATTTGCGATAAAAAAACGTGGAAATACTTTACATAGGCGGAAGAAGATCTTTGCGAAAGTATTGACAGTAATTTTTAATTATATTTGTTTTAACGTGACAAACTTCGAAATCAATTAACTTTCAAAGCAAGTCATCTTAGCATCAATCAAAAATATTAAGATTAATGAGTTTTCTCCCAGTATTCCATTCAGAGTTTACTATAGGATTTATTGAGGGTATGAATTAATCATGTAATTTTTTCATTTTATAGATTTTCATAATAGTACATGAAATCTGCACTCGTCTCGTCGTAGTTTATTTTTTTCGTATTTTCAAAAAGGCTTTTTTTTGAATTACCGTAACAACTATATAATCGATCAAATAATGACTGCATTTGAAATGATTTAATTCGTTTTTTAACATCCAGATTTCTGTGATAAATAAATTTCAAATTTTAAAAAATATCGTGCCTCAATCGGTATTCTCTTTGTCGGTCAACTGTATGTTATGGTGTATTACCAATATCGCTAAAGCTTAATACAAAGTCCAATTGATTTATCTTGATTATGCACTAAATGAGCAGTCTGTAAATCACTGACTTTAATTCTGATTTATTTACCACAAAAATCCCATTATTCATTAAAATGTTACCAGGCTATTATTGTCACCTTTGTGAAATGAAGGGTATCCCATTTTTCAAATCAATTAATTCGGCAGACGTCTCATGATGGATTATGAATCATTTAAATGGACTCGTATATGAATGAATTTATTAGCTTACATGAGTTCATTGAACTACGAAACCAAACGTGTTATTAATTCGTAGATAAGCTTCTTCAGGTCTTAAGATTTTCATGTTTACACAAAATGAGCTGTGATTTCAATTTTATCTGCTCATAGATTATTTTGAGATGACGAAATGATGTTGGATGAATCATCTTCAGAATTATCTGCTAATGAGATGTAAGTACTTTTTCAAACAATAACACAAAAGTTTCAATGATTAAAAATCATAATTTATTGGTATAATTTTTCACTTGTATTAAAATTAGAATAATAACAATCACATATTGTGTTATCTATCTATTCGATATAATAACACTCGTATTAAAATGAGGCGACATAAAATATTTAGACACATCATTGGATGAATCGATGCCACAGAGCTTAAAAATCACGTAACGTTAAAAATATATATAATGTATACATATATAATATATATTTATATCCATGTATGTATATTTATAAACTGTCTTCGAGTTATTATACCTATAAATATTATTTTTATCTAAAAAAAAAAACTTATGTGGCAAATCGACCGCTCTTTTTCACGATCGAAATAAACAAACAAACGAACAAGTAGAAAGTTTATCTTTCTCATTTGAGCTTGATAACTTTGAGGCACCAATGGTATGCGCGAACCCTGTCTTTGGTACATAAGACCGATTTAATTTCATTGCATCGTTAATAATTAACTGTTGCTAAAATCTTTACACGAAGTTCGGAAGAATCAGGGCGAGAAGAAGAGATGATTGTTTGGAAGCATTTTAATGATAACTTTTTTTTATTTTTTATTTCGGCCACGGAATGTACTTAATGTAATTCAGCACACTGACCCTTCCATTGCTTGTTGGTTTTTTTTCATCTTTCTTCGTACTTTTAATTTTACAACTTAAACACTTATTACATATTGCATAATTATTAAAAATTAATCTACAATTGGGACGTGATACAAAGAACAAGGGAATTGAGAAGAAGGAAAAAGGAGGCAACTCTCATGCATTCCTTAAAACCAATAACTCGTTTACTCTCTCGCTCTCGTTATCGCTTACGAATTAAAAATTGTCATCTCACTAGGCATTTCAACGCTCACAATAAACAATAAAAAAAAAAGAAACATATCTCTCATACGTACAATTCCACACGTTCGTTTATAATATAAATTATGTATAATTTACTTGATAAAATTGTTCGTTTCGCACTCGCACACGCACATACTCTCGCATTCTCTTATCGAGTATAATACTCTTTTACATTTTACTTTTTTACCAACAATACAATGCTGCGGCAGCTCTCGCTTTGAATTTCAATTATTTCAAATCAATTTTACAAAAAATTGTCATTTTTTTTATCTAAATATATATATGTATATTGTAAAAAAATTTCCTAAAATTTCTTTGATTCAGATTAGAAATGAACAAGCTGGCCTGACTCATCACTGACACTATTTTTTTACAATACAAAAAAAATATGTATACACTACATAACTATTTCGGTGCTGCATTGTACCCTCAAGTTTGAAATGTTTCATAAGCTCAGTCTTCTTCCTTCTTTTCTGGCTTCAAATCAACCATTGCGTGTAATTCTTCGGGCGTGTAACTGTAAGGATAAAACAGAATATGAACACCCATTCGCCACTCTTGCTAGGCCGTTCAACTAATTATAAAGAACATTCTTTAGATTTGCGTATTCAACTGACCCTAGGAGATTCTGGAGATCGCAGACAAAACGGTAAACGTATCGTTTGCCAGCCGTTTTGTGAATTATGTTCTTGTCGTAATAGTAGCGCAGGCCACGACTGAGCTTTTCGTAATTCATTTTGGGCTTGTTTTTTCGAACACCCCAGCGGCGGGCCACCTCGTCTGGATCGGTGAGTTTGAACTCCCAACCGTCACCAGTCCACGAGATGAACCCTTGACAGCTCTTGTCTGTCAGAAGTTCCAACAGGAATTGCCACAGCTGAATGGGGCCAGAGCCTGTGAAACACGGACCAGCGCCAGACACTGTTGAAACAAACGAACAAAAGTTAATAATGTTTTTCTCATCGTTGCATCAAATGAACAATAAAAAATTATAAATACATAAAGTTGTTTTACCAGAGTTCGATTCGATGAAACAACTGTATAAGTTCAAAGTACCAACCTGAGTATCCGGCAAGCATGGCGCTCGATAAAAGTGGCTTCTGATGATCCTGATTCTGTACAATCTGGGCCGCATGATGAGCCGCCGTGTCTCTGTGGCCGAGGCCAGCGATGAATGAGGAATGATGCGTTAGCGTGTCGCCGACAGGCCCGACGGCCCACTGTTGCTCGTTGCCACCAGGTCCAGCCGGTGTGGAGGTGCCGCTGTTGCCGGGCGTGCTGCCCGGTACCGTTTGGAACGGCGCGTCGTACTGACCGTAGGGGCCCTCGTTGTAGCTGTCGTGATGATAATTGCGTCCCGCTGCGAAACGAGAACAGAGATGAAATGCGTTAAATAATGGCGCGTAAGAAAAAAAAGAACAGAGCCTAGCGCGCAGCACTCAAGTGCGTAGAAGTAACGACGACGAGGACGACGCGTCGCGCGTACAGATTCGAAAGGCAATATGATTCATATCTCGAGCGAGCAAGCGAGAGAGGTGCGTGTCTTACACAAAAAGCGGATGTAGATAAGCAGAACTGCGCATTTTTTTACCGAAAAATAAAAAAAAAAGTTAAATAAAAAAAAAATTCGAGCGAAAGAAAGAACTCGGTTTCTTTTGTCGCAGCCGCGATACACGCGAGCGAGACAAAAAAGCAACGATCGGCCCATCGAATTATTTTCACACATCACGTTCGAGCGATAAATTATTATGTTCGGACACATGTTTCGCGAAAGAGTTTCTGAATCGAGATGTCTTTGTCGAGATTTCATCTTTATTATGTAAATCGAGCTCACGGTGGCACGTGGCGCCCGCGAGACACGCGACCGACCGAGACAAACAAAAAAAAATCGAAAAACCCTTTCACGTGGATGTATCTAATCGAATCGGTGGATCTACATCATTGCCGATGCTAAACGGAATAAAGTTGTATAACATAAAAGAAGAAGAAATGAAGAAAAGCAATCACGTCTGATATAGACACTTACCACGAGGGTAGCCTTTGAACGCTGCTGCTGGATGATACTTTTGCTCGATGCTATGCATGCCGGCATTGTAGAAGCCATCGGGCGAATTATCGAGCCCGTATCCGTGTGGGTTCGAGTGATGATGCTGCTGCTGCGTTTGCTGCTGCTGTTGCTGCTGTTGCTGCTGTTCGCTCGACGTGCCCAGGGTGTGAAAATCGGCGGGCTCGTCGTAGCCCGAGTAATGCGCCGGCGTGAGGTAATTGTCGCTCGCCCCCGATGCCGAGGACGATCTGAGATCGATCTCACCGCCGGAGCTGAGATCGCTGCCGGCCTGGGACTGCATGCCCTGCGCGGGCCCGTGGCCCGTCGTCGCGTCGCTCGGCAGCGGACCATTGGTGTACGTCGCTAAACGAGGAACACAACAACCAAGTTGAGCGTTAGTCAGACCCGAGAGATACAGAGCGGTTAGCTCGCGACACGAGCTCTGATTCGGAATCGGTTTAACGGGCTTACTTTCAGCTTTCAGCTGATTGATGTTCCGTAGGTTGAGGTAGGCGTTGCTCGCCGTCGTGTTATTGTTGTTGTTGTGATTACTGCTGTTGTTGTTGTTGGAGGACTGGGGCGCCGTGGGGGCGGCATTGCTGCTCGCGCTGTTCGACGTTACTGACAAGGGACTCGTCGATTGCGGCGAACGGTCTCGGCCTCGCGTGTCCTGCTCCGCTGGACTTCGCATATGATGATAACCACCTAAAACCAGAAACGAAAAGTACATTAATAAATTGAATTACGAGCTGTCTCGTAAGAGACGTTAATAATATATCATTTGTTAATTAAAATTGATGCAATACGCGTATGAATTTAATGCAGCGCATCGTTAAACGTCACGAGAATTAATCTCAAGGCCGCCCGCATGGCAATCTCAGTTCTATCTCTCGTAGTAGTACAGCATTAGTTATTGGAATAAGATGGCATGGCCAGATTTAAATTGATCGATTCAAAGAAAATAGCCCACATGGATAGTTAAAAGCATATTAGTATGATCTTTTCAAATGACATTCGAAGATTCCACTCGAAGATGACACTTGTACACTCATGGACATTTGAGCTTGATTAAAGTACACACAGCGTCTTGTCCGAGTTTCGACAGTGAATGAAAAATATTTATTTAAAAATACATTGATTTATCGATTCGGTTTAAATACGAATGATCAGCGCATGTGTTGCACGTTGTATCTGTGCTGTACATCATACGGAGAAGCAAGAGAAGGGGGGCGTAGGCAGTCGAGATTCTGGAGCCTCGATTGGTGGATCCTAACTCCGCCTCTATGGCTGCTGCGAGTGAGTTTATTGGACTCTTCCCCCTCTTCTGGCGCGCCGCACGCGTCTATACACACAGCACACAGCTTACACGTTCGATCCTATCTACGCCGTGTATTATACGCTTACGCGACTTGCGGTGCACGGCGCGCTCAGATGAAAGAAATAATATATGATCCCCGAGCTTTTGATAGGTGACTTTGATGCTTCTAATGGGAATTATGTAGGAAAAAAATTAAGAAGCGCTCGATTTTTAATTCGATCCTCGTGTTTCAAATGAAATCAACGTATCTGAAGCTGCTTCGTTCAGTATTCGTGTGTCCCATCCATCTAGCGCAGATTACAAAAAGGCGAGACCTGCCAGAACTTGTTTTTTCATTCGTAAGATGAGACAAATTGTCTCATGGAAAATATTATATGATACATAAAACTGCCCCGTCAAGGTATCTATCGGTAACTTATTAAATAACGACTAAATGTGCACCTTGGAATACTCGACACATCATAACTTTCCTTACACATTAAACCCGATGTACATTGCATAAAAGCACTCGAAAGGTAATACGGCCTACGATGACATTTCCAAGTAGAATGAACTCGTTTAATCAACTCGCATATGGAATGGTAGCGCCATTAATACGATATCTCAACGAATTTGGCTCAAGTATCGATATACATTGTTCTAAACAAGTGACCGTATGTTATAAGTATGATTAATAAGAGAAAAAGACGAACAGACAATAGTATACACAAAACGACGCGTATCGTACATTTAAAACGATCGAAGAAAAAATTTCAGTTTTACCCTACCAGCTGTTCTTAGGCAGCTATATATAGTCTCCTCGGTCGAGTACCTTTCGCAAGCCGCGAGGTGTATATCTTGGGCTCAGCCGCGATGATCATCGAGCGCGCTACAAAATACACCTGCCCGAGTAGTGTGCGGCCGAGTCGAGACGAGACAGCCACACAGGCCCATTATAACAGCAGGTCACTGTGTATATTACAAACATCGCGCGCCGCATTCCCTTATATCTCTCGGGAGTTTTTTTCGGACAGTTTAACGCGCCTCTGCGCCTCTCTTTCTCTCTATAATATAATAGGCTGCACACAGCCAGCACCGCTGCTGTGCATTTGAATTTTGCTTCTGCTGCTGCTGCCGCCGCGTTAAATGACGTTTTAGCACGCGCAGATGCAGAGCAACTATTTTCGAGAAAAAAACAGCTGGCTCTATCGTCGCTCTGCCGAGACAAGAGCGAAGAAATACAGGCGGAGGGAGAGGAGAAGACACCATGAAGGCAACGAACGAGACGCGTGCCTCGTTGTCGTTCAATCGTGAAATACATGATTGAAGAAGTGCACGATAAGCGAATCAAGAAAAAAAAGATGATAATAATAATACTAAAACGACGACGGCGAAGAAGAAGAAATTTATGTATACGAATCAGCTACGATCAGAGAGACACGCGAAGGCACGCGCCAATTTAAGTGTTATTTCCGCTTTCGTTCTCTCTCTTTCTCACTCGTTCGCTCCTCGTTTACTGAAGCTGCTTTGCTTCTCTCTCTCTCTCTCTTGAGTATTATAAATATAGCACGGAATGAAAAACTAATGCCTTTAAGCACATAATACGCGCGCGCGCGCCTCGCGTTTACATATTATACATACACATAAATGGAAAAAATGGCTTTTTTCAGCTGCCTCCCTCTCGTTGAACAACAACACGATTCTAGACAAACTCACAATGTACTTAAGGGCTTGGCACCGCAAGAGAGAGAGAGAGACACGCGCACAACGAGCTTTTTGAATAATGTACATCATAATACAAGCTCGTCTCTCGTAGCTGGATTCCTATTTTCGATATAATTTTCCATTTTGGAAAGCTAAAAGCGAACGGGCCTCAACTAGGGGGCAACAACTGCCTGTCTGCCTCTGTCTGCACTTAGAAACATTCAAACTAACTCGAATCCCCAAGGAGTAGACTAATACCCACCCATTGTGAGATTACACAGCTAAAATTATGTACAAAAGCTCATTGTGAAATCATAAAACACTCATCAACACACACCTTGCAGCGCACGCGCGCGCGCAGTATATATATTATGTACACGGTGTAGAGCTGCTAATAATACAAATCAGAGATGCCGACGAGAGAGAGGCGAGTTATATGTGCGTAGTATATACATGAAAAACGAGCGATAAGAGAAAGAGCAAACATGACCAGGCCTATAATACAATATATTATATCAGCGCGCGCTAAGCAAACATAGCACCGACTTACAGCAGAAGAAGAAGAAGAAGGAGGAGGAGGATAAAACCCTTGAAGTATAGTATCATCATCACCCAGAGAGTGAGAGAGGCGAAAAAGAACAGGTGCTGTTGCTGCTGCTGCTGTGGCACGCGCCTCTTGCTCTGTAACTCGCAGGCATATAACAGCTGCTTCGCGTCTCGTGTACATTATGTATTATATCGTATAGTAATACAAGTCCTAATTTCGGCGAGTTAGACGGCGAAAAAAAAGGACATTCGTAGAACGTTTGCGCATTTTAAATGTCGTTTCACGCCTGCTTTTCCAATATATTACAAACTCTTGTATACAAAACTTTTGTTAATCGAGTGGATCGCTTAATACGTAAACGCATGACTCGGGAGAGAGAGAAAGATGTTGCCCAACTAAACAGACAAATAAAAGGGAAAAAGAGGATCGAATGACCCATCGAGTTTTTGCTGCTGCTCGCGCTGAGGAAAGAGAGAGAGAATTTCGGCGTTGTGTGTATTATATATTTTGGCCTCTAAATTGGAGCCTTTTGTAGAAATTCTTGTATCAATTCGGCAGAAATACCACAGCTCGTTAAAAGAATTAACTAAAATATAAAAAAAATACAGCTTATTATTACGTACGTTTCGAGAATCAGGTCAACGAGTAACAAAAAAAAATTTATAATAATGATAAATTAAGGCGCAACGCACGCGTAGCGTCTTTGTCGCCTCGAGTCTCTGATTAATAACTCGCTCGCGCCGCGCGCGGCGTTCGAGAAATATTTAATACTGTTTTTTTTATCTTCACGCACATGCGTCGCTCCGTGCAATGAAAGGGCGATCGCCGTCGGTTGCTTATGGCGCACGAGTAATTAGAGTCTGCGATCGAGCTGCTACTTACTTTGCTGCGAGCAGATGTTTTTTTTTCTCTCTCTCGGCACACGTCCTATAAATATACATGCAGCCAGAAATTGTAATCCTTTTACGCGCAATCTTAAATTTTCCGTTAAATTGGGAAGCGCGAACGGTTGAAAGATTTTTTACTTTACTGCACTTCAAATCTGGTAAAATTATATCATTACTGATCGTTTGATCCGTCGAATTAGCATTGTTACGATTAAGAAAATCATATTATTCATGTGGCATAATTTTTATGATATTTCAATTATTCATTGCTATTCAATTTCCTGAATAACGATCGAAGGAAATGCAAAAAAAAATCGATTGACAATTCGTAGCGCTTCCAATCGTCGATTAAATTTTATAATGTCATAACTCTAATGATATTCAAATTAGTTGGATTAATTTCAATTACTTGCACTATGACCCAATAAAATGCAAATTATAAATTTTTCAAGGCGCTTCGGAAGAAACTGAATAATGACTAAAACTCGTTAGAGACTTTAAAATATTGATTGGTTAAAAAAATCTATTCCACAAGGAATAAATACATTTTCGGCATTAAACATTTATCGAATACATACGTTATGTACACGAAAAGCGATATTCAAATAATTGAAAGGATCATCACAAATACATAGGTCGATATCCGGAGAAACATATGACATATGAAATATAAATATCCGTACGTCGAAAGATTTTACAATAATTACTTGAAAAGTTGGTGGTGTCGCGCGCACGGCAGCTTTATTTGATACAAAAAATGACGAAAAGCGCCGCAATTGCGGCGCTCTAAATCGAGAAAATCATTCGCTAATCCAATATCCGGTCGGAGAAAATATTTATACGTGTGCATAGACGCCGATATATTATCATTGGGGATTTTTCGCTGTGTATATACGTAGTGCATACGATATATAACGACGAGCTATGCCACTGCTTCGAAGCTCGCGCTGTTCATCCGGTATAATCAATTGATGTTTTGCTCTTTTTCAGTTTGGGAAAGCGAAGGAAATCACACATAGTCGTTGGAATTATTATTTCAAGTTTCACCAAAGATCTTCTCGTGTGCGTGAGCATTAGCCCATTAGAAAATAGCGCAATTTTTGCGCTAAAAAAGCATTGATTTTGATTAATTCAAGCTTTATCTTTCGTTCGTCCTCTCGCTGTTTCTTGTGTGCACGCGCTTAAAAAAGTATCGCATTTTTGTAATTAGGCACTTCCGCCCGAATGAAAACATAATGCACGCAGAGAGTCGCGTTGCTGCTGCTGCTAC